TGGGTAACAGAGGAAAGTGTGGTGGGGCAGAAGCGATCTTAAGGGAAGGATGGAGAAGGAAAGAAAAAAAGGCATGGAGTACATGTGACATGAAAGTAGAAGGGGGAGCTATGGGAGGAAGGAATGGAACAAGAGGGAGACAGGGAGTTGGGGTCAGGCGGTGGGTAAATGAGAATGAAGTATAATGACATGTGCATATGAAATTATCTAAGAGTTAATAACAATATTTACAAAAGAAAATGTCATAATTAAGTCCATTACTTTGCATGCTAACTTAAAAATCAATAAATTTTAAAGGCTGGAGAGAGCCGGGCAATGGTAGTGCACACCTTTAATCCCAGCGCTTGGGAGGCAGAGGCAGGCGGATTTCTAAGTTCGAGGCCAGCCTGGTCTACAGAGTGAGTTCCAGGACAGCCAAGGCTACACAGAGAAACCCTGTCTCGAAAAACAAACAAACAAAAGAAAATAAAGAAACTATGAGATTTGAGAACAAAATGAACTCAAGGTGGTGGAAAACGACAGTGTCTCTTCAACTTGATTTGACAAAAATTCCTAATGCAACAATGATTGCCAGTTTAAGAAAGAATGCTTCAATTCAAAGAAGACGTTGCTTGGTGAAGTAGGGCATAAGGAAGCAAATGTGGACAATGAATGTTTAGCACCATTCAATTAAAAGACGAGCTGAGAGGGCTGGAGAGATGGCTCAGTGGTTAAGAGCTTTCAGAGGTCCTGAGTTCAATTCCCAGCAACCACATAGTGGCTCATAACCATCTGAAATGGGATCTGATGCCCTCATCTGGCACACAGGTGTACATACAGATAGAGCACTTAGAGTAAATCAATCTTAAAACAAAGACAAGCTGAGTTTGGGCTTGGTAACCATCTTCTCAGTTAAAAGTTTTCTTTGTTGTGGGCAAAGATAAAACTTATGCTTTCCCAGAATTCCCAAAATGTGCTTTAGGATTCAGCCAGTGACTGAATCTAGAAACTGAGTCCAATTTATATTTTGCTTTATTTCTTTTCTTTTTAAATTACTTACTTAATGAAAACACAGTAGCTGTCTTCAGATACATCAGAAGAGAGCACTGGATCACCATTACAGATGGTTGTGATCCACCATGTGGTTGCTAGGCATTGAACTCAGGACCTCTGGAAGAGCAGTCAGTGAACTTAACCACTGAGCCATCTCTCCAGCTCCCTGGCTTTTAAGTTTTTGAAATAAGATCTGATTATGTAGCTCCAGCTGTCTTGAAGCTTGGTCTCAAACATGCTTCTCTTGCTTTTTGTGCCTATCTGCTTAGACTATGGGTATATAATTATTCCTGTCCAAATTTTATTGTATATGCTTATAATTCCAGCTGGAAAGTGTATTCCTTATTAAACTTGTTAAATAAAAAATACAGGAAGCCTTTGTTTTGGATTAAGTTTCTACACTGTGGTTCATTGGGGAGGGGGGAACTAAAGATAGAAGTTGGTGTTGTAGAGTATGCCAATAACCCCACAGCACTGGGAATAGAGAGGCAGGAGGATCACTTCAAGTTTAAGGCCAGCCTAGTCTATATATTGAGTTCCAGGCCATCCAGGACTTTGTAGTAAGTAAGACTTTTTCTCAAAGAGCCAAACCAACCTACCAACTAAACAAATAAGAAAAAATATACCCAGGATGTTAAAGCTTTGCAACACCGAGCTGTTCACCCGAACTGAGACACCAGGGATGGTGGGCACAGTTCACACAACTCAGTTTCAGTTGCTGTGACCGGGAAGATTCCTTTGCTTCAACCTTATACAAAAGAAGTTACTAAATTATTGGTGTTAACTAATTATTTTTCTATTGTTAAGCTGCCTGCTCAGCAGCTGTAAGGAAAGTAACTGAAATGCCCAATCTGCCTTTTGTTCTCTTGTTTCTGCATCCTTCAGCCTTTCTGTCTATAAAACTATTGTTTCCTGCTTAGCCTATAGGAATGTATATTTTCTGAAGTATTGCTCAATTCTAGAATGACATATAACTAAGATCTTTAAGATTATGGGTGTTGTTTTACAGTAGAGTACAGCTTTGCATGCTTCAGGCTCTGAGTTGCAGCCATCACACCACCATTCCTGAAAAAGAAAGAAGGGCATAGACAGGGTCTCTCCTCCTACTTTCCCTTTCTCGGTATGGCACTTATGATGGCTATCCTTTTTAATATAGAAATTTTGTTTATTTTAATTTTATGTGTATGAGTGTTTGCTTGTATATGTGTAATGCTTAAGGAAGCCAGAAGAGGGATTCAGATCCTCCAGAACTGGAGTTACATTGGCTAGCCACCATGTAGGCACTGAGATTCGAACCCTAGTCCTCTGCAACGGTAGCCCCAGTGCTTCTAACTGCTGAGCCTTGAGATGAGAACTCTTGCTTGTCAACTTGACACATGTGAAACCTCAAATCAAGAATTGCCTCCATCAAATTGGCTTATGGACATTATTATTATTATTATTATCATTATTAATTGGTGAGGAAAGCCAAGGCCACCATGGCAGTATCACCATGGCATATGGGCCTGGGCTGTCTGGGAAAGCTGAGCAGAAGCAGGATGCCAGCCAGTAACCTGCATTCCTCCATTGTGTCCTCCTTGGTTTTCTACCATGATGGTAGATCTGTAGAGGAAATAAATAATACAGTTATTATTTCCCAAGTTGTTTTGTCAGTTTGTTCATATTTTTTAAATCACAGCAATAGGAAGCAAAATAGAACATCTCATCCTAGTAACTTTGCATAGCCTTGTTTTTTTAGATTTTCAGTCTTGGGGTAAGAGTCATAGACTCATTCCTTCCCCTATAGAGAGATTTCAACTGATATTGATGACTCTTAATATGGATGGTATTGCATTCTAACGATGTTTTAAGAACCCCCCCCCCGTCTCTCTCTCTTTCCACACATGCATACACACATTTATTTCTCACAATCAGGATTTTTAGCATTTAATATTTAATAGGTGGGACTTAAGAGACACTTAGTAGGGCTGGAGAGATGGCTCAGCCGTTAAAGGCTAGGCTCACAACCAAAAATATAAGAGTTGGGTTCCCAGTACCCACGGCTGTCTCTCCAGCCAAAGAAAGAGAGAGAGAGAGAGAGAGAGAGAGAGAGAGAGAGAGAGAGAGAGA